GATTTATTTTAATGACAATTAAAACTAATTACGTTGCTACCAATTGTCATTAATATTACTGTCAGCATTACTTTGATTGCAGGATAATATTATAACATCAGTTATTTATTTATATTACCAATTTGTGTGCACCAAACTATAACTATTTGGATGTGTCAAACTATATTAAAAGTATACATTGCGTACCAATCTTCATTCAAACAATCTTCCGACTCCGGTAACGTCGATTCATTGAACAGGATGTTGCACAGATGATTATGAACGTCAAGATTCTTTTTTCCCTCAACAATCTTCAATCGCATAAACATACATTTGCCGTCGAAAAGCAATTGCTTGCTGTTTTCCGAGAAGCTATACGTGGACTGCACGTTAAAGAAAATGGAGCGTGATAAATTTTTACCAATATTGATACGAGTCTCTGTTACAATAAAGGAAGTTACAATACCTCATCGAGCATTTTCTGGAGCAGTTCCTCGTTCATTCGTTTGCGTATCTCTTGTTCCACTATGTAATTCTCCGGTAGCAATTCCTCGATTAGTTCCACATACGGTGGACTCGACCTCTTATCTCTTCTTCGTCCCTCCTCGTCCTTGAATATCCAGGGAAACAGCAGCAGACAAGTCTCATTGCATAACGACGTAGTCAGATGCAGCATCTCCGCCTCGTATCTCGCTTTAGCTTCAGCCACTGCATAACAATTTTGTTGTTATTGCATTAAACAATAAATGTAGCTCCATGCAATTTCCAATTTAATTCATATTAATTTTACATGTTCGAACTTTTGTCTCAGGAGTAATTAAAAAAAGTTCAAGTGTTTAGTATGACAATATATTACCTTTTCGAGATTTCCTTGCTGTTTCTTTAGCTATTTTCGCTTCTTCTTGAATTTTCAGTCGTACTACTTCTTCCGGACTTTTTTCGAAAACATCCATGGAGAATCTACATTTTAAACAAAAAAAAAGAGAAACCCTAAAAAACTTAAAAAAACATCTAAATCTACAAAATAATAGATTTGTCATATATATTAAAATGTTTAAGACACCGTGTCAAATTGTGAGGAAGCACGTTTAGAAATCCAAGTTCTCGATCGCGAAGATAATGCATCATCGATGAACAATAGCGTCTGTCTGTTCCCATCTTCTCTTAAATATTTCACAGAGCGACCGACCCAACAAAGAGCCTAAACTGTTTTAAACTCTCTGCGCGAGGAACGGCGCGAGATCCCTACGTGAAATACTAATCATCAGATAATTTTTCTACGATGAGATCATAGAGGAAGCAACATGCTTCATTCTAAACACGTATTAAAATTTGCATTAAAAACAATTCTTGCAATTTCACATAAGTCGAGCGCCGATATACGACTCTGCTACGGATAAGACCATACAGCTCATGGTCTTGTCTATCCATGCAAATCCATGCAAATCTTGCGATTCCGCAGAATAAGTCAATAGTGAAATATAATTATCTTTGTCAAGGACAATTAACGTGTCTCGCGATGAGATTACACAGAGTGTGCAGCGCAGTTAAACAAAAAAGTAGATTTATATTTTTTTTTAATTCCAAAGTAATAGAAATTTATATTCTACAAAATGTAGCAAATTGTACAACTATAGTTATAAAATGCCCGACTTCGACTAATACTTCACAAATGGATTTTTTAATCGATACGAGGCGGACTTATCCTTAAATAAAATGTCGAGATACCATCGGATTTTAAATTATAACCGGCTAAAAATAGTGAGATACAAACTTTCACGCGAACAGCGTCATCAATCATTTCAACTTACTCGTGCTCGTCGCCCTTTTGAACCCTTTCGAGCTCGATCATCAGCATTTTTACGAATTGCGGACAATGCGCTCCGAACATTAAATTTATCATTCGGCCTTCCTGCGAAAGAACCGAATTCTCAACTGCAATAATTATTTCTATATGCAGCACGAATACTTACGTGAATAAACATCCACGTGGGCTCGCTTTTTCCTTGAAACCTCTTCAAGTCGGTAACACGATCACAACTTGCCTAAATATGATGAAACAGAAGCGCTCTTACTAATATATTTAAATATTGAAGATCAATTCAATATGAAAAATAATTTCCATGAATAAGTAGAACAAATATGCTACTTCTCTACATATTATTTTTGTATTATTCTATGTAGATAAATAATACTTCTATATCTGGACTTTCCTGTTCATTATTTATTACTCTTACTTATTCTTATGATATTTAATAATAATCCTTTCTATATATTGGTTTTTGTGGCAATTACCGTAGCATAACTTAATGCGTCGCCTCCGATCTCCATCTTCAGCTTCTTCAGAATGCTCACCATGCCTGTGCAAGGACCACTCCAATCTGAGTACACGTCCACTACTGAATAACAACATTGCATCGAAAATATCTTTTTATAACGCTCTAATTGTCTAATCACGGAATTACTGTATAATTCGTAAAAATTACTCGCCTACTAGACCCTTCCGTTTCAGTACCTTCGCCCATTCCTCGTCATTAAGAACTTCCGTCTGCAATGCCGCGGGTGCCGCTTTCTTCGCCATTCTTCTCGTCGTCTTCGCTCCACCCTAAGACAAAAATCAATTAATTAACTATATTCCTCACAATTTGTCAATCAACGGTCTTTGCCGTCGCAATAACATTGTTCGACGAAATTTAAATGTAAAAAAAAAGTCTGAAAATTATTGAAAACGTCTCTCAGATATCTCTTTGTATCATCCACATTTCTATAAAAGTTGTTTGGTATTGTCGTAATTTCGTAATTGCAATTATATAAAATTATCATGTTTTTTTTTTAACACTCTATTCGCGCTGTACCCTTTTACCCCCGCGCAACATCATGGAAGCTAAGGTGCCGATCTCGCCGGTCACAATCACAGACGCCAATTTTCTTCGCGAGAAAAGCGAGAAAAGCGAGAATTTCGATTTCGAAATAATTGAAGTATCTTCGGCGAGGTGGAGAGAAGTACTGCATTAATCGCGTATATTTTCTGTGTGCATAGGCTTGGCTTTCGGGGCTTCCTTTCGGCTACACGGGGACATCGGCGACATGGTAGGCACGCGATATAATATAATGATTAACGAGCTCATGATACAAATACACGCACAGGTAATTACGGTGCAGGAAATCCGGGGGTTCCCGCGAAGTTCTTGTACATAATCGCCTGTCATGAGACATTAACCCGAATATGCTGTAAGAAAGGAAGTCGTTCCTCAAGAAAGAACGACATTAATGTCTCGAGATTTTCAGCAAGGTTCGCGAAATCCATCGATTTAATATTCTTTTATTGTCTTCTTTAAAATAGAAGCAGAATTTTTTTAGTAATCACAGTCAACCATTTTATTCAATAATTAAATCGTTAAAATATAAAAATAAATTTTTTTAGCTATATTAGATATGTTATATAATGATTTCATTTTACAAAAACGTAGACAAATTTTGTTTTGTGATTTCTATATATTCTATATGAGCCTCACAGAAGTCAAACTGATTAACTTTATTTTTCATACATTTCTTAATTTTACCAAAGTACATATAATTAGTTTGTAGCTTCATCAATTTTGTCTACTTTTTGTTTTACACGATTGATCAGTTTGGTTTTTGAAAAGCTCATATATGGCGAGGTGTGAGCAAAATAATGCATAATTATAGTATTAAAGAAATATAGGAATATTACGTATTAAAAAATATTATATTTTTGTAAGCTACTGTACTGTATTATGTATCTAAATAACGAATCATAATAACGGATATGATTACTAGCTAAAGTTGTATATACGACAAGAAAATTACAGGGGGCACACGGCGGTGTCGTTCCGACTCGACCCCCAAAGCGCACGAAAGGATTAATCTTTAACCCGAATTCATTCGTATAATAAGCTACCACAATCGATGCTAAGCAGCCAAGGACAGAGTTGTCTCATTGACACTCTTCTCTTTAAAAATGCACATTTCTAAAAGCAACAATTCGACCTTTGGAACGAAAATCAAAGTTCAATTTCACTGGTCGAGGGTTTCGATGGAATGTCTCGCTGCATCGCGTTTAAAGAGCCTCGCTGGAAATCGATTGCGTGCTACGACCGATTCTTCCTTGACAATTAGAACGATGCTCGGTCCAACAATTAAAGCACGACTTACACATCAATAAGTAGTCACGATCTTTGTTGATTTCCACCCGTTTCTTGGTTGCCACGTAACGATTATATAGTTAGGGCTCGCTTAGCGCCGGATTTATTGTTAGTTTCCACAGCTTGATATGCACATATATATGAGTCCTGAAAAATCAGCGGAGTACTCTCTGTTACATATTTATGAAAAATAGTTGGTGAATCTTTTCTTCCAAATAATAAATAGAAAGATACCTGCACGCGTTTGCATATAATAAGTAAATACGAGTTACATATGACAAGTATTAATTAATTTTAATGACTGAAAAATTAACATTATAACAATTGAGCTTAATGATAATGTTGAAAATGCTCCTGGAGGTCCATACAAAGTTTCTTCGCAAATTTTAAACATTAATTGTAAGATTTAAATTTATATCTTTTAATTAACAAGGAAAAATAAGATTTGAATCGTTCTAAATAGAAATGTCTCTGCAGCATGATTATGAAAAATAATTGCGTAGTAATTTTTTTTTTTTTTTAATAAATAGAAAAATGCCTGCACGCGTTTGCATATAATAATTATTTTTATTTTAAGCAATAAAACGAGACTCTTTTAAAACGAGATACATATGTGAAAATTTATTAATTTTAATAATTAAGATATGTTACATTAGCATAACAATTGAAAGTTGTCTAAACGATAACATCGAAAATGCTCTTGGAAATTCTTATAAGACTTTTTCGAAAAATTAAACATTGGTTACCATAGTCGATTTGAATTCATGATGTGATCATCACTCTCGTCAGATGGCATTGGTATACATTTAAAATACCGCCAAATATATATCGTATAGCATGTACACATTTCGGAGCACGTACACATCTCAAAGTACCTCGGACCTTGATTTATTTACCAATTAATTTCGAGTAAGTTTCACGAGAATATTGTGCTTTGTAACAACACTCGGAAGGTCGTCGAATTGCGATCGTCGTTTCTCTGCATCGCCACTTGTCGAATTACGCGGTAACCGTTTATATTTTCGATCTTGAAAGCAGCGAAGGATTACTGGACTTACTAGCTCATATTAAACAAAATTTTAATTAGATTAAAACTCTCTTTGATCAAATGTAATGCGCTGTTTGGAATATACGCGGTAACCGAATTTGCAATTTTGGAGGTTATGTTTCTGTCACGGACAGTGACGTTTGTTGTAAATACGCGTGAGCAACTGATCACGTGATAATGCGATTGATATTCAAATTTCGACACATTTGTAGTCTAACAAGAGTTTACCTTTTGATTTAAAAAAAATATATATATATTTATTTATATCTATATCTATATAATAACTAAATCGAACTTAATATTTGCAAATAAATGAATCTTTCGCTTTAACTATACCTATAGATAACACATATACGTAATAATTGTCTAATTTTTTAATATTTTTTTATATATAACAATACTGTTTTGTATTGTTCGCTTAAAATCCCTTGTAAATTAATAATAATCAAATAATTGAGCGTGTCTTTTTACGTAAACAAAGAGGGCTCAAAGTCGAGAAATCGAAATGTTAAACAGCAGCGAACATAAATTTTATAATAAATATGTTTCTGTTTCACAGACATGTTTTGCAAAGAAGCTATTAAGCTCGTAACTGAGCTTGATATGCATGAAGATATTCGACCGTTTAACGTAAGTATTACAAATATCATTATTCTTGTAAATACAGTCATAAAAGTTTTTTTTTTATTTGCAGGAACAAGTAATGCGACAAGTTTTTGAAGAGATGCAAACGCTTTATGAGGCCAATCTGACGGACAGGTACATTATACATTACATGGCATTTTTGAAAGTTACTTTACAACTGTTAAAAATTAATATGAGAAATCAAATATAAAATATTATGTATAAATAATGCCACACGTGGTAACAGTGTAATTTAACGAAATAACATTCAGCTGTCTTGACAGCAGCAAAAACTGTGTTTTATTAGCCAGAATTGAATGTTGATTTTAATAAGTTTTCTCCGCTTTCCGTTAAATGTTTCAGACTTTCCGCGAATGTTTCAGCAACGCCATACAGAACGGGAACAGCGCGTTATTACCGTCAGTGCATTTCCGCCATACGGCTCTGCTTAGGAACAAAAGATGCGTGCTGGCGTATCTGTACCACCGGATCAGACGATTACGGCAGATGCGCTGGGAATTGGGCAGCATCCTGCCGACCGAGATAACCGTCAACTTGCTGAATGCGGAGGTGCAGTGGTTTCAAAACTACAACAAATCTCTGGCCACCTACATGAGATCGATAGGTGACGATCACGGATTAAATCTGACTGTGAACATGAGCCCTCCAAAGACGCTTTATGTCGAGGTAAATGTTTTTCATTTGTATATAATGATACAGATTTGACAGAATCGTGCGAGAACATTTTTCTCACTTTCAGTTGAATTTACAATCTTCCTGCTTCTTGCTCTATATGTGCTTGTTGTATAAGTATTTTTACCTATGTGTTATAAATTATGGATATAAAATGTATTATGAACATGTATTTTTATTTTAAAAGATTTTTTAAATTTAGGAATGATTTAGAGAAAAAACAAGCTTTTGAATACGTAATATATGTGCATCACATAAATTTCTATATGGATTTTATGTGTTACATATGTATTACACTGGTAATAATTAAATGATATTAGTAATTAGACGACTTTTTCTTCTAGGTGAAGTGTTTAAGTGACTTCGGCAAGCTAGAACTTGATGACGGCGAGGTCATTACACTCAAAAAGAATACATATCATCTGTTACCAAGGGCTACGTGCGAGCCGCTTATCAGACAAGGCATACTCGAGCATCATAATGCATGATAATTGCATGATAAAAAAAAAGAGTCTCCTTATTTCCATCATTTCTTTTATATTGTGTGTGCTTTTGTGCACATATCGCTGCCTTATGCATTTCAACGTTAAAGATTTTTTCTTTATATATAAAATAATATATGTATATGTATATACCATCATCATATTGAAGAAATAGAACATACATTTTTTTAATGCAAAATATGAAATGCAAATGTGAATTTTATATTTTTCTTTAGTACTTCCATATCTCTAGTTCGTCCTTTCCTCATTTTTTCCATTTTTTTACTTTTTAGTCTCGAATAAACAAGCTGTATTATTACCGCATATACTCTGAATACGATATACAGATTAACATGCCACAATAATAACAATACATATAATTTTACCATTTAAGTATGAACACTTAATGTTAAATATTGAGGACTTTAGAACTGATTTTATCATTGCAACTTTTTAATTTTTTATTACACATCTTTATATCTGAACCATTATTTAAAATGAAATCTATTTGTAATTAATTAGAGAATGTAACAATTCAAATGTATATTGCAGAAGCTTGACTCTCAGGTGTTTACTTCAAATTATTACCATTATTATTATTAGAACATTTTTATAGGGATTTAAGCACCGATAATAGCGAGAAATTAGGTCACTGTATAATATATCAAGCAGCAACGGAACAATATTTACCCAAGAGATTAAAACACATAGCTGATATATATATACCCTCAGTATTTGTGATAATAACTCTTCTTTATCCCATCAATAAATCTTCTTCTAGAGTAAAGTAAAGACACATGTTCTTTCTTTCCTTTTATCTATTTGCCTTCTCCTTCTCTTTTACCGAGGTTCTTAAAATACAGCTCACACGGCTCAGAGAACAGAACACCTGAAGCAGTTCTTAAGTTAACGGCATACGAATACAATATATGCATACGTGTCACTAATAGCTTACAAGCGGCAGTTTTTCCTCGGTAAAGACCGGCGGCAGTCGACATCTACCTCGCACAATCATCGTTTCCTAGTTTTTCCTTCTGATTACGAGGTATAACGGAGAGAAGGCATCAGCAATCCGCAATCTTTTGCAGTGAACCAATGAAGAAGACATCGGTGTATCTTGCACGTCCGCAGCACCGTAAAAACTTCGGCGTGCTGTAAATTCGACTTGGCATGCTGTTGGCCGGTATCTGGTAATGACAGAATTGACAGGTACGTTGTAGTCAGAGAATCAGAGAGTTGTCACTAAGAAAGTTGACCTGTATAGAAGAGACTATATATGTCAGATCAGCTTGCTTAATTCAGTTTGTCCATTGGCGAAAGCATTCATAAGAGAAAAAAGTAATTCTCTTATTTTGTTCCTTGGTAAATATTGATTATTCATAAAAGCAAAATAGATTTTTTATATATCAGATAAAAATATAATACTTTGACAAGATTCTTTTTTTACATCATCAAGCCTAGTCGATATGGAATAAATGTTTATACGTATGGGATAAATGTATCAAGATACAATCGCAAGAATGTGATTTTCTCGAATGTTTATTTATCACTTCAGCAAAGCAGCATCGCGCAAAATGCAATAACGTGCGTCATATGATTTATTTTCGCAGCATTAAGACTGTGTTTTTAATTTAACACAAACGTTTTCTGATGCACTTGTAAAAATGATCTTGCATGCTCCGTATAATTTTCTCTTCTATTAGAGTTACTTATTATAGCGGAGAGGGAGGGACATTCTCTCTCTCTCTCTCTCTCTCTCTCTCTCTCTCTCTCTCTCTCTCTCTCTCTCTCTCTCTCTTAAATTTTGACTCTACAGAAATAATTTCTTCCTAGTTACCGTATTACAAATAACAGCACTTCGCTCTTCATCGTTAAATAATTCGGCATCTACACAATAATTCGGAAGAATACATTTTTCTGACCAAAAATATTAATACTTATTTATTCTCTGTTGTAAACATTATTAATCGCTGTTTACCTATCGAAGAAAATATTCGCTTATAGTTACACCTACAGAATCAAAATTTATAACGTTTAATTGTGCCTCGCACCTCAAAATTACCCTCCCCTAACTCATCATTTATAGTTTCTTGAACAAAATAAAGTTGTATACTTAATTTGATTTGTAAAAGTCAAAGTCTAAACGAAAATGTTGATAAGTATGACTTTTATCACTTTCTTCTCGCAAATCTTTACTTGCATTAATGATTAGCAGCGAGTTGGAAAGTTTTGCTGTAGAAAGTTCAGGGACGTGTCTCAAAAAGAATACATCGGAAAAGGATACTGTATATGAGCTGTAGCTCAAAAATGCTGGAGAAATGATGTCGTCCGTACACTCTTGAGTCAGCGTACTTCCCCAATTTCCCGTTTAGTTGTGTCGGTCAAATAATGGTGGTGTTTAACTGTCGCGCGGCGTGAACTTAAAGACTCGATCTACCTTTTTAATTCTTTCTCCTTACGTATAATCGCGACATTGATCGGGTCTCTTGTAAACAACATAAGTACTGTTATTTTCCAAGATCGAGATAACCGTGCTATAAGTTTGCGATATCACAAAATAAGACAAATAATATCATTCGACAATAATAATAATATCGGTCATAAATGTCTTAATACATGGATTCGCATAGAGAGGGGCGCATTAATGGCGTATGCTTCTGGTCTAAGTATTCGCGCATATAGCGTTGATTGTTTAAAAAACATTATGATTATTATTATTATTATATAAAAAAATTATTATAATATTGTTATGTAATAATGAATAGAATTATTCAATAAAAATAATAGAAATAATATTCAAATAGAAAATAATTAGTTTGTGTATAGACAATAAGGTATAAAGATACAATTCAAGATAAATACGAGCGGATGTATATACGTGCAATTAACTTTTTTTCTTTTATATATTTTTAATGATTTGTAATCTAACTCCTTATGCATAAACAAAGAATTCCTTACGCGACGTTTGATTAATTTTGAAATTATTCAAATATCGATATATGTCAAACAATGAAACATTAATTCTAGCTGCTTTGACACGGCATTGCCGTTTCTCAAAAAAATAACCAACAGTCACGATGCATGAATATTCAATAGAAAGCATATGTGCCCCGAATATGTCCTCATATGAGTACAATTCATGCGCTAAGATATTTATAACTTCGGATATATGTACATATTTTTTATGTACGGCTATGCAAATTTGCTGGGTTTTTTTGCGCTGTGTACACGCAGAATCATCAATGCCTTAAAACATGAATTTAAGAAATATTTGGGGCATGTATAAATTTCATATATTAAAGTACTAATTTAATTATTCAGAATTAAATTAACGCCTGAATTTCTAGATTAAAGTATTAATGTTTTCGGGTAAATATATTTTATGATTGAGTCTTTTTGTGATTTTAATTGTTTATCCACGTTTTAGATCCATGTTTATTCTACTTTGTTAAAAGACGAATTTTGATTTAAAAATATTCTGTTCCTCAACGTGTCTCTAATCGAGAGCTACTCTAATTGCTCATTTATGCAAGGATTCTGAAAAGTTTCGTAATGTGTCGTTAACTAAATAGAAATCGTTTTATCGTGCATCTCTTGGTTTTACTTGTAAATAAGCTTAAAAAAATCTCGGAAAAAACTGTACTTCTAAGGATAAGAGCTTATGTAGTAACTGTTAAGACCTCGCAATGCCACGTCAATTCCGCTGAGCAAACAGTGTCAATTATTTACACATTTTCTATCGTTATCGTAGGTTTTTCCCAGATAATCAGGGCATTGACGTCGCGGCGTCGGCGAGGTCTACCTGTCTAACAAGGTCGCTCTTAAAATCAAAAAAATCTTCACCTTTGTCCCTATAATTAATTATCTACTGTTATTTTATCCTATTTAATGTCTCTGTAATGCATAGTGATGTTAAACGATAATAAATTCCATATGATGATACTATCGCATCTTGATTCGACTACAGAGTTACGTTCTCGATTTAATTGCTCGTGTGTTCGCGACCGATTCCCCCGTTCCTCGAAGGAGTTGAAGCGTTAATAATTTCTGAATTATGAGCGATTGTGGAAATGATGGGCTTGTTCCTTATACAAGATAATCTGAATATTAATTGTGAATACGAAGATTGCAAATGATTCTGTCAATATCTTTGCTGAGACAAAATTTGCTTCAGATTTTTTGATAAATCGAGGACATACAACATTTTTCGAGAAAATTGCATCACTTTTTATTTATACTGTTAAATTTGTAGTGTTAAATTACTTAATTTGAGTCATTTTTATCCATTCCTATAGGCCGCCACTGTTCCCATTCAATATGTCGTTAATTTAACTAAACCAATAAAGTTAAAATAATAGATACTATTTTGTATTAAAATAATAAATTTCGACATACACAATAGTTAAAAACAAACAAAATGTTATTCAAGGTGTGTGGCTTTATCCTTTAATATTTAACAGTGTACTACAGATCTAACGCACAGATATTCAAGAACAATTATTTAACAAAGAATTTTATTAGTAATTGCTTATGACTGGTTTCGCCAATGTACATACATACATCATCAAGATTTAAACAATTCGAGAAAGTATTAGGAGTGAAAGAAAGGAGGACGCGTTTGTTTGGGTTGTGACCTGAAAGTGGCAACGAACGTTCCATTGTCTAAAATTCTAACGCGTGGCTCGTATAATACGGGAAAACCCATGTGGAATCTCTGTGGTGGTGGACTCTTTTGTACGCATATCGAGGCCACATTTGGTGGCGGCGGCTGCGGCAGCGGCGGCGGCAGTGAATCGATTTCCCGGTACGTACAGTAAACGACCGCGATACGTTTACCGCCGTGCATCGTCGTGAGGCCGTTTCGGATAGGAAATGCCGCTGGAATTTCCGGTGAGTTCGCGATTTCGCTCTTCCCGGGAGAAGCCGCGAAGAAAGTATACTCCATCACGTGTGGCGGCAAACGTAGAAAGTCCCATCAATCGATAAATCATGCGTAGTGCGGGTTCGCCCATCTATAAGATAAATCTCCGGGAATCTGAGATGAAGGTACCGTACGTTTGCGCGAGCGCGCAAAATCGTATATATCGCTAAATTAGTTTGATTTCTACAGTGGTTTAAATAGGATGTTTGTTAACATCAAGCTAAATCGGTCCAAGTATGTGGATTTATTGCTTTAACAAAAAAAAAATTGAAAAACTGTGGTTCACACACACAAGACTGATAAGTAATCAGCGCGCAAGTTCGCCGAATTGTGTGGGAGAAGTATAATACAAGATTCGCACAAGCATATTATTATTATGGCCACCAAGGTCCAAGTCCGACTGAAAATGGCACTTCTCTCTATCTAATTGTAGTTTAATTTCTCTTTTTATCATTGATCTGATCACGATTACAAAGGTTCAATGATTACAGTTGTAAATTGATTAGTAATACACTGTTGGATATTAAAGGATGAAATTTAAATCAACACCTTAAGTTATATATCATTTTTAAATACTATATATGTCAAAATTTATTATTTTAACAATTTATTATTTAAAACAATATTATTTCCACTCTAACTTTAGTTAAATTAACATTATTTTTAGCATATAATCCACTCGATTATTTGTTTAAGTAAATGTTTTATACAAGCTTCTTTCATCTAAGCACTTTGAATTTCACTTTGCTCCTCTTGTTAATTGTTATATTTCTTTGAACGATTCTCTTTTACGGGAAGATTTACATCGTATAGCGTCAGTCTCCGGTCCAGTCTCTGAAAAATTTCTTCTACGATAGATTTTCTCCCAAAAAGAGACGGAAATATTGGAGAAAAATTTATCGCGTGAAAGAATTAAAAGAATCTCCTTCAAATGTCCGTTTATTCTGGGAACGAAGAGCCAAAGCTCGATCGATACGAAATTGCGGCACTTTGTACTTGATAGCCTTATAATCTAATTTGTGAGATAACGCCCGGATATACAGGCGTACTCAAAGCATTACAAGATCATGAAGGCGACAAATGTTTCATCTAGAGGAAAGTCGAAATAAGGGGTGTCGCCTACACCGCCAACACGTATATATTCTTTTGCAAAAGTTCCATAAGAGCTTCCATTGTCGCTCCGTGTCCCCTCAATGAGAACCCTCCGATTAATCTTGTGTATTTCGCCGCAATCGCAACAGGCGATAACAACATTTACGCATAAAAGCGAATTACTACGAAGGGAAAAAAGTGTCGGTGATGATAACATGCCTGCGCGCGCGCAGGCACGCGATGGAAAATATTGTTACGTAAGAGTTCACGCACGTTCGCAATTTCGAGCGAGGACGAGCCTCCCGATACGTCTCGTAAAAATGATTCTAAGGAAATAATAAGAGTATTTATAATCCCGGATTTCACGAAACTCCTCGACAGTCCGCTACTACTATACTACCCCTTTTCTTAAACCTGCGATTGAAGGTACAATCTTCCATCAGGTACAATCGGAGGAGGGAATTTAATAAATTGGTATTTAATCAATTTTAAGAAAAAAATGGCATTTACGGTCCTGATTTAATCTTGGTAGCCTAATAATGATATTGCGTGAATTTTGTATACTTTTTCCAAACTCAGTAAACTGCGAGCCGATTTTTTATCGGTATTTAAAACACAGCCGCGGTTTTATTGGAACAATAAATGTAGCACATACTATAGCTTATTAGTATTTTTGTATATTTCTCATTCGTTTTTGCAAATTAATTAATTGCGATGGTTAATAGTGGATTTCGACAAGTTCTCTCGGTTTATCCGTAAAATCGCGATGGAGTAGAGAGAAATGAGCTTTCTTGAAGCTTGTATTGAAGCTTTAGCGAAGCTATAGAAAAGCTTTTTATTAGTATTATTTATAACAAAATTACTTTCTGTTATAAATTGTTAGTTACACTGTGGTATTCCTAATTCGATCTTATATTTAATTGTAAAATCGTTCGCTGATGGTCTTTTGTTAGTTAATTTTAAACTTTATCCAGAACCAACGAAATAATCATTTCGGGATCATACTTAGTAAATACCAATTAAGTAACATGCAACTTGCATGCTAGTTATAATTTCCTACTCAACAATGTAGATACAATACTTAACACTATAGCATTGTAAGTTGCATATGTAATTTGCTGAGTACTTAAGACGATCTTAAATACAAAATCGAGTTACGAATTAAATACCACCCTTAAAATATAATTAATCCAACGTTAAGGCTCAATACGCCAGTATTTTCCTACGTTTCTCACGCGAATTGTAAACGGAATGTCCCATTATATCGGATTTTCCTTTAAGTCTGTTTTATCTGTGGTAAAAACCTGTGTCGTAAAAGACAGAAGAAATTCACGCAACCGCAAACACTCAGCGGATATTCCCTTTAAATACCTGGAGTGTTTGACGCTATCTTGACTCTATCTGATCCGATTATAAGCGCGTTTTAAAAAAGACAATAAAAGAGTTGATCAGAGTTTAGACGCATTTCCTTTTCTCCTCTGAGACAAATATTTTTCAAATAGGCGACATTGTTTACGATGTTATTGTTCATATTATTACGGCAATGAATGAAATACAAGAAAATCTCTCAAGTCCCACGAAATTCAAATTTTCATAGAAACTCGACGCTCGACGTAAAGTTTTTCACATGAAACATATCGTCGCGCGAGTCGATTTCTCCGCGACTTCGGTGGCGCCTTATCTATAAAACGAGAGTCGTATCGCATCGGTTACACGGCATACAACCACGCGGCTAGCCCTGCCCGAGGTTGATGGGTTTTTCCGCCCCTACTCCGTTCACTCAGGAATTACCGCCATACGCTCCACATCGCGCGAGAGCCTCGCCGAATCGGCCATCTTCCTCGCGCATGCGCGCGTCCGAGCGCGGTCCCAAGGAAGCGTCTAGCGCGGGTAAATGGAGGTACTGTCGAATCCCCTCTCGATCGCATCAAAGAATCAGCTAACTTAATTTGTTATTAAGAGAGTACAAAATGTACAAAATGTACAAAATCAAATAACCTACGAACCCATAATCGCTTCATGCGGAACGCGATATCCGGTTTTTCCGGAAACGATAGATTTATCGGCGAACTTATATATCTACCGTTTCCGGAAAAACTGGAAAACTGATTTTCTCCGTTACGCCCCATTTGTTGGCCGCGAGTATTGTCCCTTGTAAGTTTACACTTTCATTAAGTTACATCTTCCGCATTTAAAATATGAACATCGAGGAGGCAAGAGAGAGAGAGAGAGGAAAAAGATCCAAATTTCGATCACAAAGAAAAGGAAACTCTATGCACGTCCCTGCGGACTCGTCACGTCGCGCACGCGCGAGACGCTGCCTGTTTGCCAACAACGCGACTCTCTCTCTCCATCATCACGATATTCGCGATCAGTTCGTTCTGAGATTACGAGACGATAGGGTTACGTACGTTCGTGTTCGCGCGGCCACGAAGACGCGTCGTACGATCGAACGAGGAGGCGACCGCTCGCCATCAGTTATTCAGTTTCCCCGACGGCGATAGGAAGAAAGCTCCACTAGCTCCAGCCGAAGTTCGAGAAGGTTTTTTTTGTGGCGCGGTGAAAGGCGCGGGACGAAGTAGAACGAGGTAGAAAGTCGGACGTGCGAGAGCACGCGAGCGAGCGAGGCGCCATCGCGCGCGAAAGAGAGAGAGAGAGAGATTGAGACGAACGACGGGGGGTGGGGAAAGACCAAAGTCTGCGGGGCACAGCTGTTCCGTGGAAGGAAACGGAGCGGGAGGAGGAGGAGGAGGGGGAGGATCGCGCCGAATATACGCGTCGACGGGAGCGAACGAGCGAGAGAGAACGTCGGGGACTCGAGACCGGTGTACGGAAGTCGAACGAGAGCGCGTTAATCGAGAATCGCGAGGATACGAATCGCGACGCGCGGTAACGAAGGTCACACGCGAGGAAGCCGGAGGTCGCGGTTAACGAGGAGTCGCACCGCACGATCGAAAAGCAGGGATACTCCGGAGAGTGCGAACGACGAACGAGTTTCTCAGGCGCCACCCGTTAGAATCTCGCCCCGTCACTCCTTTCTTCTTCGCCGATTCGCGGACCCAGGTATTTAACGATCTCCAACGAGAGAGCGTCCGTCAAAGGAAGAAAGGATCGGTACCGTTTTCCCCGCGAGAGAGAGAGCGGTCGCGAGAACGCGGAAAGCGACTCTCCGACTCCCCTGAGGTCTACGACTCGGGAAGAGTAAAAAAAAATGTGGCGTCCCACGAGTAGAGGCACCCAGATGGAGCCTGAACGTGTTACAGAGGACGACAAGAAGCAGCAGCAGCGGCGGTGGAAGTGCGACAACGACCACGACGACGACGGTGGCGGCAAGTACGACGAGGACGAGGCGGGCAACGTCGACTCCGGATTCCTGTCGGGCGCCAATCTGCAGTTCAGCGGCGAGATCAGCGGCGACTCGGGGTTGCTGCATTCGCCGGAGCGAGAGGAGGAGGAGGGACGCTGGGGGGAGGGGGAGGGGCAGAGGCAGGAGAGACAGGCGGCCAAGGCAACGACACCGGCACCCTCATCATCATCATCATCGTCGTCAACGGCAGCGTCGGCGGCGATCGCCCATGAGGAGCCAATGAGGGCGATTGACAGCGGCGTGGACCTCGACCTCACCGAGACCCTGAGCCAGCTCAGCCTCAAGCAGGTCAGCCTGAACCCGCTCGCCGCCAAGGGCAAACTGATCCAGGCCGAGCCGACGGCGCCCGAGCTGTTGCCCGTCAGCGCGAGCCTCGCGCAGAATGATGAGGACGACGTGGAGTTCGAGGAACCGCGGGACGACGGCAACGATGATGAGAAACGCGCGACGACGAGCAACGAGGAACCCGCGTGGCAGTTGTACTACACGCAAGATGACGACGGTGACACGTGAGTGAAATTTCTCGAGTTTTTTCATCTTGTTTGTTAACCCCTTTTGATCCCGGAGCGGATGTACGAGTGACGTATACTGTCGGCATTGTTTTTCTTCAGGCATCCGTCGCGTCTCGCGAACTGGACGGGGGATCGCCTGAATCTCCTTGTACATTGGAGTTAAATTAGAGAAGCTTAGCATCGAATAATGACGATGCATCGGGATAATCGAAACGAATTACATAATGTAATTCTCTTCTTTTCGTCGGCGCCAAATGTTTTCGATATCGACTACTCGTCTGGTGTTTATCGTCGACTAAGATCGAGGACCCCGTTAGCCCGCGATCCTGTTAACCGGCTCATTGCCGGCCGGAGCGAGTTTGTGACCGCGATCAACGAGTCCAGGGTCAAGCGTTGTGCTGTGTGCGCTATGCTAATTGCGCGATTCCGACGCGTCGGGAATACCGACGGGAAGTAATCGAAGGCAGATAACTCGAAAAGCGAGTCGTAGCCTGGCGAGTCGCCGCGCGTGGCGAGAAGTTCAAAATTTGAAATTTATATGTGTCGATTTCGTCGCCGATGAATCGGATCTTAGCGTCATCTCTCGCGTCATTATCGTGATCTGCATTTTTTTTCGTTTCCTTTTTTACGAGCGTAGAATACGTCAATTTGATCAATATCATTATACCAATACACCACGCAACATCGACATTGACGTCCATGTAAATGGCATGACCTATAACGTATGTGTTTAACGTGGTAGAGATGACTGGCTCTCGGGCTCGTTGACCGTTTCAATGAAACGAGTTTCCATTCTTGATAAAGATCGGCTTTCGGGAATTCAAATGAGCAAAATAACAAGATAAATTGCACAATGACGCATGTTTTATAAAAAAAGAGAAGAGGTGCGACACTTGCGGCGTAGGAGATATTGAGCAAAATATTTTGTGCCGAAGACGGAACAACAAATGCTTCTGAGAACTACATAAACGAATAAATACTCCGATGTTAATGATTAACAAATAATAATACGTGGCTACAAGTGCCACGATGCCTCGGGTCTCTCCACTGCTTCCTCTTCTTATGTAACATATATTCTTTTCTCTGTGCAGGCAACTGCACATCGCGATCGTGCAGGGCTTCGTGGAGGCTGCGCTCTGTTTAATAAGGATGGCCCCGGACCCGTGTCTATTGGACACCATGAACGACGACTGGCAATCGCCCATGCACCTGGCAGTGTTGACACACCAGCCGCTGATCGTCAGGCGACTGGTCTTAGCGGGCGCGGATCCGTCTCTGAGGAATTTCCGCGGGAACACGGCTCTCCACCTGGCCTGCATGAGCGGGGATTTCACTTGCGCCAAGGCTCTCACGGACCCGTTATCCCCGATGGAGAGGAATAAGCTAATGCCCGGACAGACGGTACCCGCCTTACCTCAGAATTTGGAGCAACGTAATTATAGCGGTAAGTACTTGATAGATTTCAGTCTTTTTCTTGTTTTTGGGGAGGAACGATCGTTAGGTTGCGATAAGAGATGGATAATTGCCACCAGGAACAAGAGTAGTATATTAATAGGCGAAATTGAAAAGGAGTTATTGCGGCAAAACGACGTTCGTAGGTTCAAAATGTTAATTAAGTGCAATGGAGAATTATTGGCCTTAGATAATATTTTACTAGCCACGATTTCTCCTGCCGTTACGACAGCTATTTGGAAGATTGCAATATAATTGTCGCTAATCACCGTAACGTTTTAATGCGAGAAAAGATGATCCACGTCCGTGACACAAAGAACGCCGAGGTGGTAACGGAAAATCCCTGCTTTTATCGTGTAGAATAAGTCATAAGACTCGCGTATAGTGAGCGGTAATATTACGATCCATGGACACGTGGAACTGCGCCGGGTTTCCTATGATTTCATCGAGAGAGTCATATTGTTCTCCGTGCTCACGTTTGGAAGTTCCATCGTCTCAGAAACGTCGAGAATATACATTCCTTTTGAAAAAAGATTATGCAATTTTTATCGAAGTAATTTAAATTTCAAAAATTGCATAGCTATTATATATCGAGTGTCCTACGATCATATGTTACTGTGATGTACATTTTATCAAAAATAAAAGTAAACTTTTTGCGTAATAACTTTCAAGCTTTAATGAAATGCGTGAAAGTTAATTACAAAAACATTTAACGTCGGAAATCGGAATGATAAGCGCAAAAAAATAATATGTTTCCTCTAAGCAAAAACTGTACGAACAAAATTTACCAAATAATTTATCACAAAACATTGACCTCGTAAAATCGGAACACCCAATATAGTCGGCTGATTGTGAATTATCCTTAATGTATACTTGTTGCTACTGCGAGTGTAGATGGTGGGGACAACGTGATTTGCATATCTGGTGTGGACACGTCTTCTGCGTCAAAATTTACACGTGACAATTGACTCATTAAGTACTGTTCCAGACGATGAACATATTTATTCGATGCTCATGATAATAACGCGGTCACTTACGATCGATAACGGCGCATACCTCACTCGGGGAATTCCTGCCACTGTGACGAAAATTTCGCGCTCAGATAAACAATACTTCGACCTCGGCTAAAAAGTTACACGATAAAACCGCGATTCTGCGGGTTTTGTCAGAATATTTCGCGTGATTACGCTAACTACGAAAAACAATTAAAAACATTTGAGAATAGGAGGAAAAAGGATCGATGTAATGGCACACATTTTTTCCTGAAACTTTACATTTGCCTTATGCTTTGTTATAAAAATAAGTAATTTTTCTCTGTATGACGCAAGAAAATTTGAACCAAAATTACACTTTTTAAGCTAGATTTCGTTATGACTTGTTATGTAATTCCTAATTTTGAAAACAAGTATGTTTTTTCATTAATATTTTGATATCGTTTAAATATAAATATTGTTAATAATATTATTATTTAATTAATAAAATAATAATTTTAATATTTATGATAATTCACAATATGACTGTTTTTAGATAAAAGATTTAATATATAAGAGGATTCGAGGAGACACTGAATTCCCCCTTCTATACATATGTCGCTATCCTCTTCCTAAATTGGAGACTACGAGACTTATGATAGAGCACAGAGAGGAAGATAGAAAAAAAAGAAAGAGAGAGAGAGGAGAAAATTGCTCTGACCGGCGGCGGTCGTTCGAAATGTTTCTGGATTTTTTAAAAATCTTGGAAATCCCGCATGTATAGCGTCATCGGCGTGTATTCCGCCGCAGATTCGCACGACGCGGATAACGCACGTGCGGGGCCAATTATGCTTGTGGGATTGCTCGTGATCGAATTAATCGAAGTCAAGAATAAAATTGCCCATTTAGACACTTTTACGCGGACGCTAGATAACTCGATATTCGTCTAGATTTGCGATTAAGGATCTATGAGTAATAAATTAAGTTCTCAGTACGGATTCCGTGACCGAGAAATCACTGATTCATTCGGAATAATCGCGCGTTCTAAAGTCCGCTTATTATTTTCTTTGAAAACAAATTGAATGATCAAAATTGAAAAAGATACTTGTGGAATAAGTATTCGGCAAAATAAGAAGTGAATAATAAAACGACCGAATTGCGCGATAACGATTTCAGTTGAAATTAGATAAAACTGTTTACGAATAAGCAATTTTGATTTGATTTATTGACGGGGGTACGGACGTTGCTTCTCGCATCTCGTGAGGGAAGAAACGATTTTACGTGATTGCCTAATGATTCCGCCGACGGAGGAGCACCCTGTGAAACGTGCCTGACGAACGGAAGCGGAATGTTTCGCGTGTACGATGGAATTCGGCGTGGCTCCCCGATGCTTGCGTGCGCGGCGCTCGTTACATTACGCGGCGCGGCGCGTCGCGACGCCGCGAGACGGAGGAGGGCATGGCCAGATGGTTTCGATATTTAAAAATACCTGCAGGACTATTTGCGTGCTGCGCGATATTCTCTCCTCGCCTCGCCCCGCCTCGCCTCGACTGAGCTCGCGCGGTCGGGAAACCCCACAGCGGCGTCGACGTTAGTGGCTTCCATCGGCCTTTCACCCTTAAAAAATCGATCCCCTCTTCGTGTCAGGACCTAATGACACTGCAGGAGTCTCGCCTCCCGTGCTCCAGATTTAAAGTAGTCGCGTAACGATTTAATTATAATGAAGTTCTTTGCATCGCGTTATAACGTACATCGTCTAGACACCTTAAGACATCCTAGATCTAAGCTAAGAATCTTGCCGACACATTAACTCTTTCAATGTCGCCGCAATCGACCGCACGGGACATAGTAAGAAGAGCGATGATGCTTCTGTACGCGACTATACTCGTGAATATTTGCGACAACCTGCTCGGGTTTATTTCCGTCGTTAGAAGCTCGAGAGCGCGATATCGACGCAGTGCGATGCACGTAGTTATGCCATATTAAAATCCGCCAATGCGGACCGGTAATGTGGTGCAGTTAATTTTAGCAGTCACTTTGATCGGCGCGAGCCTAGTTTGGACCGCGGGACTCCAGCCAAACCTCCGACGACAATGATTCACCGCGTCTTCCTAGTTCTATCTATATCTCATCTCGCGAGTCTGAGACATGTGACTCGGTCGCATCATTCCAACGTGCATGCACGTCCCCTCCGTCCCGGGCTTGCATCAGGGAGGATGCAGTCAGGGAGAACCCAGGGAAATAAGTTTAAATCTTGACGTTAAGAATTCGGCAATATGAATTTCCGTTGAGAAATAAAATAGAGGAATAGATAGATGTAGAGTGGCTGCTATCACGCTCAATGTTAGGTTCTGAAATCAATTTTCGATTCGGTATCACTTATAGAGACTCTCTAATCTTCTAAATTCTAATAGGAAAATACGTTGTTGTTGGATGTTTATTATATGACACGATTGCTTTTTTGTTTCAGGCGAGATGTGCTTGCACGTGGCCGCCGCCAATGGATACGTGGATCTGGTGCGACTTCTGTTGCGTTTAGGTGCCGATCTCAAGGCAAAGGAGGGCCTGGCGGGATACACGGCACTTCATCTCGCGGTGGAACGCCAGCACCGGCCGTTGTTTGATTTCCTATTGCCGGAATGCCAACGCGCGTTATGTCTGGACGAGCGAACGTATGGCAGGAGAACGGCCTATCAGTTGACCCTAGACATCAAGGGCGAGTTCAGCAGGAGAGCACGCAGGGAACTGATACGGCACGGGGCACATCCGGAACCGCTGTCGGAACCGGATTCTGACAGCAATTCTGAAAGCAGCGAAGATGAGGAGACGATGAGAACATCGTGGACGGCGGATTACTTGTCCGCCATCAAGACGCAAAACGCGGTTGGAGTGACAGTCTAAAGTATCCATTGATATCTCTAATTCATCGATAAACTTGGGCGCTAAATAATTATCGAATGAGACGATGGAAAAATACGTTGTGTACTGCGCGTATACGCACGGGAAACATATCTCGAATCACGTCATGTCTGTGACGTCATTTTAGTTTATCAATCGAATTGATACAATCAGAGAATTACGTTGAATAAAATTTTCCAGACAAGAAAGAGATAAAAATCATATCTCATATTTTATATTTTCCATATATGTTTAATAAGTATATCTTAAGCTTCAACGCGTTTACGATATTATCTTAATTAATGTGACAAATTTAAACGAATAGTTGTTACTTGGAAAGAACAATTAGGTTTATTAAATTAAATTAAACAAAGCATTTCGCAGAAATTAACTTGCGGCTTGAATTTGATGACGCGCTGGACGATGTTGTGTTAATAAATTAAATTCATTGAAACAAATAATTAAAACAAAATTGTTGAAATTTAGAAGAAAACGAAAATTGCGGTTGACGATAATAGCCTCGATGTACATAATGCACGAATGAGAAATCAGCGTAGTTTTGAAGCGTTTATGACGTCATCTTAATCTGCTGGATGGATTAAGATCTGTAGTAAAAGAAATTAAAGAATTACCGATTAAGTAGATAAGGAGTAGAATTTCTCGAGATTAGCTTCAAAGTATATTATATGTAATGTGCGATTATAGAGATATCTCTTGAGTCGCCGAGTATTACTGTCGTAATACAATTATAGACTGCATACGTTTTTCGAATCCGATACCGGCAGCAGTGTGAGGGACGAACGACGAACGAGTAACGGAGTAACGCGTGGGAATCGAAAATCTCAGAAACGAACTTAAACGCGATTAACGAAACATTCAATTACGAACGAAGATTACGACGACACGTAGACGCGGGTTGTCTTAGCGGCCGTTCGTCTTTCCCCTAGTAATCTTTCGCGGCGAATAGACATGCAGCATCCCGAGAGACGTGAAGAGTGTTCCAAAAAAAAGGCTGTACAAATAATACAAAGGACAAATGTATATTTTAACGCGAGTGTTCTTGATGTTTGTCGGAGAGTCTGCGAGTGCGAAAGGAGGTGCGTGCAGCACCGGAACGTGTGACGACGCGAAAGTGGAATACTTGCGCTTATCTAACTCGATATCTTATGATGTAAATAGAAGAGTACGTTCAGTGTCCGCGTTCAACGATATGAATACTCGTGAAGAAGGGTCTTGTAAGTTCCGGTCTAGAGGATTTACAAGATAATAGGTGCTTTAAGCCCTAATCCGTAAAAACATTATCAATCACAGTCGAATGTAAGAAGAATACTCGACTGTGACTGGGCAATTTCTTCTTCGGGTTTAGAGCTTAGGGCTTAAAGCACCGATTGTAGACCGGGACTCGTAGGTCATAAGTCGTAGGATAAAGGCGAAGTCAGTGCGTGAAGCAGAATACATATTAGAACAGAGATAAATAATCAAATTCACATTCTTATACGTGCAGCTCGGATAGCTGCACACGATGTATATGTATGTATTTATATATCAACGTATCGAAAAAAGAAAGGTTCAGAACGATGTTTATTAACGATGAACATTAACCGGATCAATGTTCTTATAGCAATTGCTTCCATCGACATACAACTTCATCTCTTCGTGTATATAAACATTTTCCGTTAGAATTATAAGTATATCACTATGTCGCGGTAATATTAATAGTAACAATGACAAGATGCCGATATATCATTATTGTTATATTCGTATAGTAAAAGCTATAATTATTTTTAATAAAAAAACATTACAAAAAATCTAGCCCGTTTCATTTCTTCTTTGTTTCTTTCTGTAATAGATATAAAAGTCTTTCTGCAGAGACAAAGAGACACACTTTGTTTTTCACTTTACTATTTTTTTTTCTTTGGGAGAAATCTCTTTTTTATTTCGATAGGAAGGTTTAAAAAGAAGACAATCAATAATTGAATAGTCGCCCGACGAGCAAAAAATCTGCACTTGATTCTCATTCTCTTAGATTAAAGGAACATTTTTATTTTTTACTTTATAGACATGTTAACATTCAAAAGATAGAATAGCTATTATAGAGAATATAATAATGTCGTAAAAGTATTTTGCTATATAAAAATAGATTTAACAGCATATAACAATTTTAAACAAAGACTAATTTAATGAAGTAGAAAGCTAATGGAACTAATCAACTAATGGAAATAGATGATAAAATAACATCAAAATAAAGAGCTAACAATAAGTATTGACGCCACGATAACAAAACAAAGCTAGACATGTTGACAAATCCGTGCCTACAAAGAATATAGCAGAAAGATCAGAGATTTCTTATGAGAATTATCTCAAAATCGGAGATTTCTCTCTTAGGCAGTTGCTCTTCCCGTTAATTGACATATGTCACGTGATCATGCATGCGTAAAATGAAAATGTCATCGTGCGAAGAGCCGCGCGAGCGTCATCCCAGTGAGAAGAATACGGACGATTAAAAACACGGAAGCTTCTCGAGCGGGTGACCTTAGAAAAAAGAAAGAAGTCTTCCTCTTCCTTCATTTCTCAGAGATTCCTTCAGATCTAAAAGAGATTATGTTAAATTCCCCAACCGGTGACAAACGTAACGGGTTTGTCGGAGGCATTGGACGCGACACACGGTTAAACTACCGACGTAAAAATCTAGAGCAAGGATATCCCGTTGAGTGTTATTTCGAGCGTTATTTTCCCGATGCGCGTAACGGTCTAAGCATTTTCAAGACGCTCGTAGACTTATCTCCCTTTTCGGAGAATCCAGCCCGCGCGCGCGCGGAGAAAGAGGGAAAGTACGCGACAGATTTCCCGGTATTTTAGGTACCGCGGTGAAACGGCGGTTTTTTCGCTGACAATGAGTTATTCTCCCGATAACGTAAACCGGAATATAACGCGCGAAATGTCTTGCGAAATTCCATCCTGCCTTTACACATCCTGCCTTTCCGTACAAAATTTATAACGCTCCGGACGACGCACGCCGATTTTTTACGTGACGCGTTCGGACGTCAAAGATTGTAAAAATTTCTGTGGGGGAGATTAATAACGGATCGGATCTGAATGTCGAGATGCCAAAAAAAATGTATCCCGGTTCTCCGGAGATGAGCGCGCATATATTTTGATATTCTGAAAATTGCGGAAGTGGCAGGCATATCGACGATGCCTTTGGCCCTGCCCGAGGTCGATGGGTTTTCCCCATCCCCTACTTCCGCGCTCTCGTTTGTAGTACCGCTAAAAAGGCATCGTCGTGCACCGTGCGTTGGAGGCAGACAAAGGCGCAAGCGCGCCAGCAGGGCCCAGCAGACGCTATTGGGCTTCAGTAGCGCATATAATAATTAAGAACGTTCTCTCGTTCTTATACTAGAGAAAATCGATTTTCTTAGGATTTTCTTGAAACTGTGAATATACGTTAATTTAGGTGTGCTTTATGCGTGGTATAAATTTCAATACCTCTTTCGATATAAAAAAACAAGATACTGAGCCTCAAAGTTTCAACTTTTACTAAAGAAAAGGTTTTCCAGGCCAAACGGTAAGAGATACGAGGTTGGCCAAAAGAACCAAAGTTGCTCCTCTCGTCGAGTTCTATAAGGAAAAAATGCCAAAACTAAAAAAAATTAAATTTTAAATTTCTTTTTGAAACTTTGAACTTTGATAAAATACTGAAATTTATACCACGCATAAAGCACACCTAAATTAACGTATATTCACAGTTTCAAGAAAATCCTAAAAGCCCTTGCACGTAACAAAGTTATAGTTATAATCGTAAGGTCGTAAGAAAATAGACCAATCACAGTCGATTATTCTCCTTGAGCTTGAAGAATAATCAAATGTGATTGGTCTATTTTCTTACGGCCTTACGATTACGACTAAAACTTTGTTACGTGCAATGGCCTTAAGAAAATTGATTTTCTATAGTATAAGGACAAGGGAACGTCCTTAAACTTACTTTACGTAAGTTTGTAAAACAATAAAAATAAATTATAAGTAACAAACGTAAGTAATAATTGACGTAAAATTTTTTTAAATAAATTTAAACTTACGTCTTGACATTGTTCATTACTAAGATCGAGAGAGGGATTGGTCGGTTAATTACAACACTTCCTAAATTTGTATTAAAACCTCTTAAACAGTTCCTATCGGGTTTCCTGTAGAAACTGGCAGATCTGTAACAAGACAGAAAATTTATATAGGCTCCTAAGGAACGCCCCGAATTCAGACTGATACACAGACCTGTCGAGATCGATCACGTGCTCACTGACATTTCTCGCGCGTGCGCGCGACAGCGCAGCGCCACGGTATATAACTGCATGGCAGTGCTCTGTCTCGTTTTGTTTGTGCGGCGCGGTTTCGTGATTATCGCGCTCGTTCGCTCGCTCGCCCGAGTCCGATTCAAGTCGAGTGTCGAGTCAGTTTGTTTTGAGACGCGAGACGATGAGGTTCGCCGACGCTCGCACGACCACGATTCGATGTCAGAACAACGAACCCGACAACCAAGCCGCCTCCCGCCCGCGCTTTCTGCCCCTTCGCGACAGGAGTCAACCGGAGCGCGTCTCGTTCTCGTGGTGCAGCAAGCGGCGTAAAACGGAGTAGTACCGCGCCTTCCGACGCAGGACGAATAACAGTCAGGTTTAAAGGAAAAACAAAATAGAAACGATACGGAACGAAGGTGGAGAGCGATAAACGGGAAGAAGGGGTTACATTCGGGGGCCGGTTAAACGCGTCGGCGAGAGAGCGAACGAAACGGAGACGAACGGAGGACGACGCCGAGGAAATTCGACTTACGAGCGACTTCGAAAGCGAATCGAGAGAATCGAAGGTAGCGCGACGACAAGCGCATATCCTTCGTGACGACGAAGGGCACAGAGGTCGGCGCCGACGACGGTATATATGCCGAAGAAAAAGCGCTCGGACAATTGAGGGAATGTAATATACGCAAATGAGACGTCGAATAACGAATCTCCACGGGATCGATTAACGTATTTAAGAATAATAATTAAGAAGTAAGTAATTTAAGAAGACGCAGAACGCACATTTCGAATAAGCGCGTCTCGCATCTCGAGGGACGCGCCGCGGCACGGCAGCTCCGCTCCGCTCCGCGAGCGTCCTTATTGTTGATCACAGTTTGCTTTCCGAGCGGGTGATCCGGGGCAAGGGAGGAGTAAACGCTCCCGCGGTCCGAGGGCCCGAAGATATGTGGTACTCCCCGAGCGAGAGCGTTCAGATGGAGGACGGCGGGAAAGGACGGCGGGACGACGACGAGTTCCCGACGGATAACGTCGATTCCGGATTCCTGTCGGCCGGCAACATGCAGATCAGCGGCGAGATCCGCGAGTCCGGGACGTCGCAGCCGCAGCCACAGTCGCGGACGAACGAGAACCGGCAAGCCGAGCCCGCGGCATCGGCGTCGGGGGCGACGACCTCCGCATCGTCGTCGTCGTCGCCGTCGGCGACGATGGCGGTAGCGGGGGAGCCCACGCGGATCGTCGAGAGCGGCATCGTGGACGTCGACCTCAGCGAGGGCCTGAACCAGCTCACCCTGAAGCAGCAGCAGCAGCAGCCCGGCGTGAATTCGCTCGCCGTCGACAACGGGGACCTGGCTCGGCCCGAGCCGACGACGATCTTCGAGCTGACACCCGTGAGAACGGGACCGCAGCACCAGGGTGACCTTCTGCTCGAACAGTACCAGCGGGAGGATGTTAGGAAACGCGAAATGAACGAGAACGCGTGGCAGCAGCTTTATTATGGACAGGACGAGGACGGTGACACGTGAGTTCGATATCTATCAATAATTTGTTAATATATGACACAATAATTTCTCATTCGATCAAGATTAACTTAACTTGCCCTTGGCGCACCTTGTTAATTTCTCCAGTGTTTTTACCGCTAACATTTCAAATTTGATAACGATATCGCGGTCGGTCATGTAATGATAAGAAGAACGGTTAACGTAATTTTATCAAAAATTTAGGATATTTGATATATAAAACTCTGCTGATCTCTTTCGATCACTTAAAAAAATCTGCGTCTTCTTTATACGTTGCATGTACTTAAATTATCTTGTTATTACCAATTTTATAAGTTGTTATTATTATTATTAACTCGGGGACCAAAGGTATACCTGACTTACGCCCCGAATCCGAAATCTTAACACATCAGCTGATACGATCTAGATCCTAGGGGGTTCCCAATTTTTTTTGTTCATGAAGAGGGCCATGATAAGATAAGATTTCGGATTCGGGGAGACCCCCAACCTATACGCACTCTAGATCCTAGGGGGTTCCCAATCTTTTTTGTTCACGAAGAGGGCCATGATAAGATTTCAGGTCTCCCCGAATCCGAAATCTTAACATGGCCCTCGCTTCATGAACAAAAAAGATTGAGAACCCCCTAGGATCTAGATCGTATCAGCTGATGTTGTTCTTCAAGCGTCTATTGTCGGTGGAAGTGCCTATAATAATAGAGCTAGATCATACAAACAGCCTGTGTTTATCGACGAGGATAGAAACGACGACGTTTGAGACAGAAGACAGTTCTCAGCGAAGTGTAAATTGCTGGACAACTTTGATGTACGATTATCGCCGTTACGCGACGGTAGAGATCAATCCTCAGGGGCTGCTTGTAAAGTCAAATAGATCAGTTGATTAAAAATAACGTGTTACTGGCGAGATCTCGTATGCATAATTTATGACGTGATAATTTCATTTAATCAGAATTTATTTACATACCTAGAAAGATTTCAAAGAAAGATTATCCTTCATGTATGCTTGTTAATTTCTCCAGTGTTTTTTACCGCTCATATTTCACATTTGGCCACTAAGAGTATCGTGGCAAAAACGCGTAATTTTAATTTACATAATTTTTTAATCAAAAAATGTTGGAGCACAAGATTCGCGTAATAAAACTCCGCTGATGATCTCTTTCGATCATCTAAAAAAATATGTATAGCATTTAGGATACCTAATTCAGTTTTTGGAATAGAAAAAAAATCCATATTTCGTCCAAATCTACACGCGCGCGAGATTTACGCGTATATCTGAAAAAGTGGCGGAGGAAAAAAAAAGAGAGAATCTCGTTTCCCTACCGTTTGATCTCTATCGTATAATAAACTGACCGACGAGCTCAACCTAGCAAATAATCATCTTTAATCTCGCTTAATTATCACGTGCGGTTTCTCTTTTTTTCACGGCATAACATTTATTCAGGAGTTTCTTACAAAACTGGCATGCGTTGATTCATGCGCGATCATCGGTATGCATAACGTTGACGTTTGTGATTACGTTTGTGGTTACGTAAATCTAATGACTTATGTAAATAAATCCAATGACTTGTATATATACGTTTAATTATGACGACATTTGGCAAAGCTCGTTGACCGATTCAGTTTAACCCTAGAATCCATGACTGGGGTCGATTTCGACCCCAGGCGAACTTTGAACTACGCTCCTGAGCTAGCGAGTGACATTATCGACTCAGGACCTGAACCATAATTCATTTCAACTTTCTAAAAGTAGGGTTATGTCGGGCGCAGCGTTAGTTGTTCGCTAGCAGTGAAGTAGCACAGTCGTAAAGCGGGCGTGGGGTCGATATCGACCCCAGTCGTGACTTGCCGTTTGAGTTTCGTCACGGTAAGCTAATTTTATTTTTTCGCTAGAATCAATATATATCATGTATTATTACGTAATCTGAGCATAAATAGTCATAAATATTATTTAAGACGAAATATCACACAATTTAGTCGGTAAAAATCCCGTTGCCTAAGAAGATTGACATTTCGCAGAAAATGGCTGGGCGATATAATGTTTCATTTTTTTCATATTTTTTACTATTTTGTATCAAATAAAAATGAAATAATACTTAAAATACAATTTTTTATGGTTTTTTCATCGACTTTTTCCGTATTTCAACTTTGCGAATTTCTTCATCTTTATAGTCCCAAATAAATATACTTTTTGAACAGAACATAGCGATGACAATTTTTTTCTAATAGTCTAATGTGTCCTCTTTAAAACCCCGTTTGAAATTTTAAAATCGGTTGATTACAAAAAAAGATACAAATTTTTGTTTAAAAAAAGAGGTTTTTGCTGATTTTCTGCGTTTTTCAGTCTTTAAATGGATTTTTCACTAACTAAACTTGAGTAAAATTAAATTTACCGTATACCATTCTCTTCGTTATTAAAAAACGAAGAAATTCATGTAGGTTTAAAGGCCCTTTATTTCTGTAGGACCGGTTTTACGATCAAATAAAGCGTGGGGTCGATATTGCCCCCAGTCATGGATTAGAAGGTCAAAAAAATGTATCATGGATTCTAGGGTTAACTAGTTTCTATTGAAAGGAATTCCGCTAACATGTGTGATAAATTAGAACGATACACAAGAATTTCGTAAAAAGATTTTATATTATAATATTGAAAGATATAAAATAAAGAAAGAAAGAAAAACGGACCAGAGTATTTTCTCGAGCTAAGAGTTAACAAATAAGAGCGAGAGTCAAGAGATGTTTCAACTTCACTAATTAACATTGGTCGTTTATTCTTACATAACGCATTCGTTGTTACAGGCAATTGCACATCGCGATCATACGGGGCTATATGGAGGCCGCACTCATTTTGATAAGGCTGGCGCCTCATCCGTGCTTCTTGGACACTTATAACGACGATACGCAATCGCCTTTGCATCTGGCAGTGTTGACGAATCAATCGCTGATCGTCAGACGGCTGATTCTGGCGGGCGCGGATCCATCTCTGAGAAATTTTCGTGGGAACACGGCCCTCCACCTGGCCTGCATGAGCGGGGATCTCGCTTGCGCCAAGGCTCTCACGGACCCGTTGTCCCCGATGGAGAGGAACAGGCTGATGCCCGGACAGACGGTACCCGCCTTACCTCAGGATTTGGAGAAACGTAACTACAACGGTAGATATTAAAAATATTGCTAAATATTGGCCAGTTCCTCGGAACAGTCGCTAGTTCGCGATGAATAATAGAGACTAAAAAAAGCGGAAGCACGTTATTAGACAAAATTGAGAAGGAATTGTCAGAGCAGAACGGCGTTCGCAGCTGAAAGATTCGATAAGCGCGACAGAGAGCTCTTTGCCTCTAGTCTCACGTCTTAGGTATTTTACTTTAATGGTCTGCGACTTTTTCCTGTGGTTACAACAGCTATTTGGAAGCTTGCAACATAATTGCCGTTAATCAACGTAACGTTGCGAGGAAAGACAATTCACCTATACGTGACGGTAGACACAAAGGAACCCGGGATCGCAGGAAAATCCTAACTGCTTTTACCGCATAAATTAAGTCACGTGTAAGACTTATATAGCGAACGATGATGCCATGTGATTATGGACACGAGGAACCATGTGGCTTTCCTATGACTTCATCACTTTCATTTGAAGAATCATGCTTTTTCGCGTCTACGTTTGGAAGATTTATCGTCTTAAACATATCGGAAATATTGCAATTGCTTTTGCAAAGAAAAAATTATCTGATTGATATAATTTGAATTTTAAAAGTTGTACAGCTATTATGTCGAGTGTTTTATTTCATTAATTTTTTAAATTAATTTTTAGAATATTTTATTAATTTTATTACTGGAATACTTTTCTATTTTTTCAATATCGAAATACAAACGATTTGTTCGTAAATTTGTAAGTGATAAAAGATGAAACTTTCCGCGAGAGAATAGTCTTCAGAGATGCGAGTAGAAATGGTACTCTTCATTGCATTTTCACGAACTTGTATAGAGACTTAATATCTGATGACGGATTAGAAAGATATTCAGCGTTGTAAATTGAAAATTTTTGTTATTTATCGCGATTAGTGACTAATGACGCGGCTTATTCCGA